ATAACTTACTCTTTCGAAGTGTATTTATTAAGAATTGAAGGATCACTATGTATTCCTCGAACAGCTGTTAATAGAAAACAACATTTACTTGAAACATTAAAACATAAATATTCATCCAATATAACATTTGGTAACTTGTCTAAAAAAATAATAAATATACATTAAAACTGTTAACAATAAATGTTTTTGTTTTTCAAATAAGTATGCATTTCATATACTTTTAGAAATTTCACTAAGTAATTTAATTATTTAGTTTTTATATAAAACTTACTATTTTCAGAAGTTATTGTCATGTTATCAAAGCTATTCACTAGAGCACAAAACATTTTCATACACAATTCATTAATAAATGATAATAGCTTTTTATTTAAGATAAATCTGAAATAAAAATTATTTTGTATAAAAACCAATTATGTTTTACATATTTTCTTAATTTATTTTTTAATTAAATAGAAATATCAAGAATAAAAATCGTTCAAAATTTCCATTTTATATCAATAAATTTATCCAGTATTTTCATTTCCTATTTTAAATTTTATTTCCAGGGTCAAAACTACTTGTCTTAGGATTTTTTTTGAGAAAGGGTGAGTTATACATATATTTATTGACTTCATTCAGCGTACACCAGTCCAATTTTCAGAATGGCGAGGTGTTATGCAATGTAACATTTGGTTAACACCTGGGAATTTTCGTTATAAACAAAAAAAATATTTTAAAAAATAATGATTTTCGAAAATATTGTTACCTATAATTAAACTGTTAATGGCCATACCCCTAACACTTGTTAATTCAATACTGCTTGGTTGAAACTTACTACTCAATAAAAATCTATTTAAACAATAAATTTTGAATATTTAATGTATTATCTGGTTATATAAAAGAATCTTTAGATTTATAAATATTTTCTTTGGAATAATATTAAGTTAAACCTTGTAAATATAATTTAATTTGAAAAAAAATTGTTGGAACAGGCTCTATGAATTTTCTGAATCTATAAACCTGATTCTTAATATGTTATTTACATTATACTTACTCTTTCAATGGCCGTCCATCAATTTTAATAAGTGCAACATAATACAATGGTAATGTTAAACGTTTGATTGTTGCATATTTTTGATCAACTAAAAAGCTATCATATTTGTCGTTAAAATTTTTGCAAACAGTTATAATTGAGTCGTCATCATTTTGTTCATATTTATTTAAAATAAACTTAAGTAATTTTAAGTAAGGTTGTGGTATAAAATGTAACTCATTCTCAACTGTAGAAAATCCATTTGATATAACTGTTTTTAACCGTTCTTCAACATCATCTGATAATTATTTAAGTTTTAAAATTAATATTCATGCTGTTTCCATAATAGTCATAATTTAAATTTTTTTACTACTATTATATATGTACACAACTACTTTAACATTTATCTTAGTAAATATTTCAGATATTATTTAAAAAGGCATAGGCATAACTAGTAAGACTGACGTAGTCTAGATTTTTCTATAAATGTTAAAAATTCTCCGTGAATAGTAAAATTATACATATTTCTAAAATTTATGTTTAAATTTTGAAAGGCTTTAAAATAACAAAAAATTATAGAACCTTCTTAAATTCTATTCACATTTATTCAAAGAGAAGCTTTTCAAGAGAAATAAAAACAAAATAAAAATAGTAATTTAACTATAATTGAAGCATATTTTTTTTATTATTTATCAATTATTTATTTATTAAGTGTTTTTTATTATTTTTTTTAATTTAAAAATAGCTATTTTTTGGTCCTATCCTTATAAAAAAAATAGTCAATTGAACAACAACAAATATACTTGACTATTTCTGTATAAATATATTATTTTTCTAATATATTAACAAATAAATATTACAGAGAGTTTAATTATTGTATCTTTTGTCAGCTAATTATAATTTCAGTTAGAATAAAATAAAAATTGTAATTTATCATAACCCATTGTTAGCTAATATTATTAGTTAT